AGGCTTGTTTAGAGAAATGCAATAGAGCCAGCGAGCCTTGAGGGAATGATTAGTAAGATTTAGGGCGAGAGGAATAGGAAGGGGAACGAGATGAAGAACGCATACCTTTTTTCTTCTGACAGATTTATAAATGTCTTAATCCTGAACATTTCGATTCAGACGTGTAATGCACACATCCGAACAAGTTAGACGTTCTGTATAATTTCATAACTCGATGTAAACGGAAATCCCACAGGACGCAAAGAGGAACGAACGCTGGAAGATCTTTGGTGTTCAGCATCTCACTTGTCATGTTGAATTCAATGTCTTGACAGCACTGATTTTTTTTTGTTTTATATATGTTTTATGCGAGCATTTTTTTTTAAAATTGAACTAAAGCTTGATATCTTTTTTTTTTGGCAAGTGAATTTGGTTCATTATACGGAAGAACGTTCCTGCCGTGCGTCACACTGATTTTTTGTTACCTCATCACAGCGATCTCAGCATCTCAGGTCACTTCTCTGTCGGAACTCTAGTATACAGGGTGTTTTTTGTTTTTTGTTATTTTTTAGGCTTGACAGGTTTCTTGGAAGGAAGCCGCGAAGGCTATATTCACACTGTCTGCGCAGGTATGTTATATGTCCCGGGGGACATAACACGGGGAAATAATGGTCACCATGGGTCGGCAAAGATCTGTTTATCAACTTTTTAATTATGAAAACAAAGATAAAAAAAAACTTCTTGAGCGTTATCGAAAACCAGTAAAGAAGTAAATATAAAAAAAGTTTGGGCGCCAATGAAGCGGGTTGGTGCGCTAGATTTACCACACGCGTTGCATGTATGGAAAATATGCTGGCGCTGTGAAAACGCGGGTAAGAGACAAAAAGCGAACGAAATAGAGGGGCTTATAGAGTGATAAACTGGCAGCTGAAAGTGACCCCCACCCGGCCGCCGCCATGTTGCACATATTTGGCCACTAGGCATGTGACCATATAGTTTTAGGCCTAGATTTTGAATATTTACCGCGCATAGATAGTTGCTTATTGATCTTCAATAACAGTGCCGACGAGATAAGTTATGTTTTGTTTGTTCTAAATCCAAAATGCTGCTTTAACAACACAAACTCAGGCAGCTTCGCAATGGCTTGTCTAGATGCCGTCAACCATGGTGCTGTATTTTGGGTTTTTATTGGAGGTAGACACTGATCTTTGGTGCAAACAGTATTAAAAAATAGTTCATCGTGTTTTTTTTGTTTTTTTTTACAGCGATCGCAACACAAATCTCAGCACAGTTTTGGGGAAAAGCGTCAAGATTCGGTACGGTCACGTGTCCAGTGGTCAAATTTATACAGCATGGCTGTAGCCAGGGAAGGAAAGGGGTGGGGGGGGGGGGGGGAGTTTTTGCAAAGTGAACGGGATACCAGTTTATCGCCTCTAAGCTTCTCTACCTCGTTAGAAAAACCGCGCGGAGCATTTTTGCGCTACCAGAAATACCGCGCTTCCTACGCACCACATATCTTTTGAAAATTTTATTATTTGATAACTTTTGATGACGCTCAGTAAGTTTTTTTTTTAATTCGAACAGTATGTATTTTACTTAAATGAAACATAATTAACAAAAATTCCTTTAATAAACCAACTAATCGTGACGACTGTTCCACCGTATGTCCCCCAGCCCGTATAACTCACCTAAGCATACCTCATTATTCTTAACTTTCACGGATTTTCTAAAGAAACGTTGTAACCCCCCCCTCCCCCCTCAAAAAAAGAAAAGGTACCTTAAGAAGCTAATGCATCGCAGCGATAGACGTGTATGTTTACAACATGACAACTCAAATTAACTTTCCGCAATGAGAGATGTATCGGGGCGCATCCCAGTGTCAATCTTTCTTGTAATTGCTGCGTTGCATTTGCCTCTACCTAGCGCCTAGGTTACTCTTACATAGTTGTCTTGAACTGCTAGGCTCCTGTGTCAACATTTATTTATACTGTATGAATTGAAGGACGAGCACACGTGGTTCTCGGGGCGCTCTTGAACCCCTGCGTTTTGCAACGAACTTCCACCTTTCTGTGGTAAGGCCCAAAACAGCTCACGCAAGACCTCTTTACAATGGAGTGTCAATTCGTACTGCTGTCTTTTAAGTTCGTTATGGTTACTCCATGTTTTCTTCGCTCTAAGTTCCTAATCTGGAGACCAGTCATCACAAAAAGGCAAAGCGATTGAATTATAAATTACAAATTCTACACCGTGTGTTATGCACAGCCACGAATCGTAGAACGCAGAAGAGCGATTCACACTACAAGAAGCTTAAATGTGTTTTTTTAAAGGTAAATGACTATACGTGCCATGACGGGTCCTCACGCCGCTAGTTACCTTTAACGCTTACGACTAATGGAAGCTGACTGCTGAGTTTTCTAGTGAGACGACTTAAATACAAATAGAAACGAAACAACACGCTTCCTGAACGCAAACTGTTGCCCGGACTTGCACCCGAGGGGCGATAACCAATCGGCTCATTGCCACGCGTGAAAGCGCTCCGCAGTGTTACGATGCAGAGATAGTTCGAAATCTGGACGATTGCCAGTACAAGAACGCACCCAGACACAGGAAGTAGTGCAATATAGCTATAAAAAAAAAATAAGAAAAAAAAAGCGTCCGTTTTTGATTGCGTTCTTTTTATGTTGACTTCCTACTGAAAAAAAAGAAAAACAGAAAAAGAATGAAAAAAAATGGTGAAGGGGAAGTTTCCATTAGATATCGGAGCTATACTCCGTTTCATCGCAACTTAGCAAACAGTGAAAGCTACCACCCCTGCGAGCTAATCAGAGCTTCGGAGCTGACTACGTGACAACGTATCATCGGAGTGCTCTACTTCTGCAAAAAAAACTGTCACGTGCTTTGTTCCGCCAGTCTGATTCGCTGGAGAAGACCGTAGTGTCCGCTCTTAGTCATGTTATGCTGAAACAGTGTGGTAGTTATCATTCCGTTCCGCTATGCCAATCTGCGATAAAACGGTAGCAGAAAAAAATGAGTCACATCGGGTGACAGCCGGAGCTCCTCTCGAATCGTTTTCAAAACGAAAGGATGGTTTTCGGTGTACGAAGTGCTTCGACGCATGCTCTCGAAACTGCGAGGTCCTACTGGCTCGCGCCGGCTATGACCGAGCTCGCTACACAGCCAACAGAACGTCTGTCAAGTGCGACATCGCAACAAGGAGCCGAGCAATCAAGTGAGTAGCGTAGTTTGACCGTGTTACCGCGGTAGATAGTGATAAACTGAATGCGTCATAGTCTTTTTATCTACTTTTTTTTTTTTAAATCACCTAAATGGCTAGAGTGACCGCACGTACAGCGCCTAAACAACTGCTCTAAAGAAGAAAAAAAATTAAGTTGCGAAAAGTGCCGACGTCGCGTTGAGGCGTTCTGCGTGTAACGAATTCAAGCCTTTCTTCCACGACCTTTCGGCGCCTCATCATGATTTGAAATCCTTTCAACTACCGGTTATTAACCTATAGATAAAACCAAAAGTGTAGAGAAGTAAACTGCGCTTTTTAACATGAAACGTTCATTGGCTAGGTGTTCAGTATTTCGTGAAGCTTGGATAAAAGCGTGGCCGCGAGGCCCGACACTGGTTGGTTGAAGGGTGGCAGAGGAGGAGCGAGGTGCTAGACGCTGGTTGGTGAATGGGAGGTCATGTGACCAGAGGGGCAGGCCAGAGGATCTCGAACTTTGTGAGCACTGAGGGAGCGGAGCTCAAGAGTATGGAATGCTCTCAAAGATAAACAGGATTCAAAACACTTTTATCGGTAGTATCGCTTCATTCTAGCCAACAACCATCAAGTATACACATGATAAGCGTTAAACTATCCGATGAAGGGCGCCGTGAAAGTAGGCGTCTGGCCTAGAGACTCAGAGCATCGCTAAACGTTTGTGAAGCTAGAACGTTTCACGTATGTGCTGTATAATTCACTAAACATTTACCGTAAATTTTTGAAGGTCACAACGTAAATCTCGTATAACCACAGTCTTAAGATGAATCAATTAGAATATAAAAAGACAAAGAACACGAAACGCAAATGTAGGTCACGGCTCTGTTACCGACCGCAAACAAGAGTTATCGTAAAGGCGAGGCAGTGAAGTGTCTTGCTTTCCAGTTTCCATTTTTGTCCTCGTTTCTGGAGTTTGTCATTCACAGCGAAGTGCTTCCTACGAAGCACTATGAACTAGCCAATACGCGGAATCTATAGAGAAAGTTTGGCAAAGGACAAAACTGAAAGTATGTGCAAATCTAAAAAAAAAAAAAAAATAGCTACTTTGTGACATTGACCACGACGTTTCCCTGCTTACGTCATGCTGAGTGTCCCATCGCATGCTGTTTTTATACTCTAAGCATATTTTGAGTCTGGTCTTTCGCAGAACTCTCTCCACACATAGCAGCCATTCATTCTCCCAAGTGCTTTGCTAGAAAAAAGACGGAAGCGGATTTCTTTAGAAAGCACGCACCTTGCCCACAATGCCCGCAGCGAAGGAACAAGGATGCTTTGCGAGACCAGAACGGGATTTATTGAGGTGAAATTTAAACTGCACGACACAGATTATCAGAAGTGAGCGTGAAGTTATACGGACTTTTCGGTCTGGATTTTGACCAGCCAACCTGGGTTCAGAATGTCTGTGCCTTGCCTCAGAGCCACCTATTATGGTCCATGAAGCTTAAAACCGCAGTCACGCTCCTCGAACATCATGCAAATGACGCGAAGTTCTCTTGCAGACATGATGACAGATTTATGTGCGGAGAAGCCTCAAACATGTTAAAAACATGTTTCTTTCATACGTATGCTTGCTTCAAAACATGTCTGCGGACTGTCTTTTGTATGACGTATCAGCGGTGTGAGGACGGTTTTAGGGAGGCGCGTGCGTTGCTTAAATACTCAATCGAGCACCAGGGTCTTCCAAGCATAAGAAGAGTATGAAATAGTACGGTAACAATAATAATAATAAAGAAATCGGCATGCGTTCTTGCAGGAGGTGATGATCCCAGCCCACCTCAAGGTTACGGCAGCCCTCCGGACGTGATAATTATCTACGGCCTCGGAGGCTTGTGCCTCATTTTCGTACTTCTGTTGGCGATCTACGGCGCAAACTACATCATTCAATCTAAGGTATACGGGAATACTGGGGCCTACACACATATATACGTATATCTAGTCGGTTGCATCCTATAGAAACTACTGGAGAATCTCCGCCTACAAATAACCAACGCATATCGAGACAAAAAAAAAAGGGGAGGTGTCGTATAGCGACACCAATTCTTTGTGGAACCTCGGGGACGAAGAATCACCACCCGAATGACATACTGAAAACAGCGCAAATAGGCGGGTCAAAGCAAGCCACACAGTACATGGCGCTGTTTTCGTGATAGAGAGTTTTAGGGAACCGTCTTTGCACGTCCGATACGGTACACGATGGGCCCTCCGGTACGAACTGCGCATGCGCAGCCACACAAGACTCGCATATGGTCAGTTCTTACCGGAGGGCCCATCGTATACCGTATTGGATGTGCAGAAACAGTTCCCTAAAACTCTCCAATGTCGTTCACAATCACCGACTAACCCAGCAATCCACTATCGCTCTGTAACTCCCCTGCACGTCCCTAAGTCGCACGACAACGGCTCGTATACATCGTACAAAACACACGGTGCCCACTGCGACACGATGACATAATTATCCGCGAACATGCCTCGAACATTTTGTAAGCATTCTTGATTCATACACATGTGTGTGCTTCGAACACATCTGCAGACCTTTTTTTTTGTATGACCTATGTAAGTGTTGCAAACAAGCAATTCCAAACACACATCAGAGTGTGTCCTCAGACTGCCCTTTGTATATGATGTATAAGCAGTGCGACCGCAGTATAATGTTTCGAGAAAGACATTAGATGCCGATGTTGGTGGTTTGCAGTTAGAAGAGCATACATAGCTGTAGAGCAAGCTACGAGAAGAAAGCGTTCCCTCGCAACCCGCATCATGTATGACGAGAAGATTGAACCATAAAAAACGCTTGCTCCAGCCTTTCTTTTCTTCTTTTTTTTTTTTTTTTTTTTAAAGGGTTCGCCATTGTTTACCTAAATACAAATTCTGCAGATCGGGGTGCCCTAGGCTGGGTTCAATCCCCGCCCCTGCCGGTTTCGATCTGGATGAGCACGGTACCAGCGCGCGGTTGTGCACTGCCACTGCGTGGTGCACGTTCAAGACCCCGAACCAGCAATAATTTCTTACCTAGAGCGTAAGCCAGAGTCGCCGCACCTCAAAGGCAGACCGACCTAGCACGAAACATACACAAACGTCTTTTTTTTGTTTGGGGGGGGGGGGGGGGGGGGGGGGCTTATAGTTTCGTAAACACAATGTTGGAGCTGAAGTTCCCGGAATGATTGGCGACGACGCAGCGCTTTAGTCGCCAAAGTCCAATCGCCGCGCCTACGTCAACTTTAATATCAAGCAAGGGGCACAGATTAGAAACAAGTACTGCGTCAAAAACAAAAACAAAAATGATTAAAGTTTCTTTTTTTTAATAAAGTACTTAGTAAACTACGTTGCTGGTTTAATGGGTGCATATCATTTAGGTAAAAAAAATAGTGCATTAAGACAAAGACGCGCGCTAAAAAGCTTCATTCGGAAAAGAGCAGGCATGTATAGACAATTGCAAGGATGGCGCACCGACTGGTGCCCCACGCGTGCAAGCGCAGGCAGCTTGCGCGTGAATATAGCTTTGGCAAGCTTGCAATTGCACAGGCTTGTCCGCACCAGCAGAGACATGGCGGCGGCCAGTGGCCTCGCTTGCAATCGTCTATAGGCACTCAATTTACCACGTGCCCTGGCAGCATAACTTAAATTATAAATAAAATAAAATAAAAAGTATATACACAACCAAAGATGGGATGTAGCCTAGAATGGCTGATGTACAAACTGCCCACTAATTAATCTGGACCGTCTACTTTCCCGCAAACCGCTTGTAGTGGCAAATCGCTGCAATCCACGTAGGGACCTCGGTCAATGACGATGCAGAAAATATTCCTGGAGTAATGAAAAAAAAAAAAAAACATGTCTGCGTTCTGGCACCGGGCATGACGGTTTACCGTCTCAGCGTGGTAAAATCGTCCTGCCCAGTGCGGTAAAGCGTCATAATTGGACGCTTTACCCAATGACGCCTCGTCATTGGCCGAGCATCCTCCGTGGAGAGCGGCGATTGACCACTACAAGTGCTTTGCGGGAACGCAAGCGCTCCAGATTCGTTCTTATGCATTGCAACGATCTTATTTCGATTGTTTTTCATTCTGTTTATTTTGGCTTTTGAACTGCTGTAGTAGGCGTTTGATTGTTTATGGACAGCAATGTGAACGACGACGACGACAATGACAACGACAACAATAAAATTATATAAATAACAAATTAATAAAATTTTTAGAAGTATTTTTTTCTTCTTTATTATATGGTAACAAGGGAAGTCATATACAACCTTCGTGCTGTAAAAACTGGGTAAACTTTTGTGCTACATTCAATGGAGAAAAGTGACACTGGTGATCTGCTTTTTTTCGATCATCTTCTTACTTATGGGATCTTTTTTTTTTTTTGAATTGGGAGTGTCAGGATTCAGTTGGAACTGCTGTAAAAACTTTGTGGTAGTTCAGATTTTTTAAAATCTAGAATTGATCTTTTGAAATTCATGTATGTATAGCTGGTTTTGCCGCACAATAAGGCTTTGGCAAACCTGCACTCTGCACTGAATATGCTCATCGTTCGACAATTATATTTTTGTAATTATTATTAATAATATTGTTGTTATTGTTGTTCTTCTTCTTCCTATTATTATTATTGCATTGCCGGTGACGGTGAAAATGACGAAGAATTAAGCGCTTGTCCAGTCAGGCCTATCTGAGATTAACACTAAAAAAGAAAAGCAGACAACGCGACCTCAAGGCGCGACGAGGTTTAGTACTCCTTATCTATCTCCATCTATTTGGATTTATATTAAAAAAAATATCTGAATAGTTGGGGACAAAGAAAAAAAAAGAGGTGTTTTGCATCATTTCTTCGGTCCTGTAAACAAAGAGAAAAAAGAAAAATAGAACTAAACACACAAACAAACACACGCATTCACGCACACACGCACACAGATGAAGCAGATATCCTGAAATATTGTCCTTTATTTCTCAGAGCCATTTACACTGAGAGAGTTTGGCCATCTTAAGGAGATTTCGACAGCCTGGCAACCACTGCAGCGTAGTCTGACTAGAGTGTACTAGAAGGACCGAGTGGGGCGACCGGAATGCTATTTAGGTACCTCCGCATGTGGAAAAAAAAACCGGCTAATCCAAGCCACTTCGCTCGTAGCGCCCTCTCGGGCACAACGAGCGAAGCGGTTCGGATTAGCCGGTTTTTATGAAAAACGCGTTGCGTTCCAACGCCAAGATCGTTCCACAAGCGGCGGCGCCAAAAAAACGCTTCGGTCGTCTCACTCAGTCCTTTCTAGTGCACTCTACGAAGGTGGCGCTGCGATCGAAGTGGCTTGAGTCCATCTGATCGCTTTCCACATTTTGAGGTGCAACTGAAAGCATGAGCGGAGCCTGTAGCTCCGTCCCACTCGTTCCTTCTAGTACACTCTAGTCTGACACCCGGGGGATGACTACTTCCGTCCGCCATTTTGTGGCTCTGACTCATAGCAACTCTTTGCGATTTCTCTGAAATAAAAAAGACAAAGAAATAACTCCATATTGTGTTATCGTGAGATCTACTGGTTCTAGTGGGCAATAAAGACGGCTCTGTTATTTCTGGGCCCACTGCGCCCTCTCAGCACCGGGTGTTACTTGGAAAAATGTTCGTCCGGGTTGCAAAACCTAATAACAGTTTAAACTTTTCTTCTTTTTTTTCTTTTTTTTTATCATGGGCTTTCTGGTACGAACGGCGCATATGTGCGAGTCTTCTGTCGTAGCGCGATAGCGCATGCGCGGTTCGTACCGGAGGGCCTACTGTATACCGTATCGGGTGCGCAAAAGCGGTTCCCTAAAACTTCCTCTAGTGTTTGTACAGTCATTTTACAGCGCCGTTCTTAGGTGCCCGTTTCCGCCTAGACCGGCGTCGCCGTCGGCGTAACCGCCACGCCAAACTTAGAGGGAAATTGCATTGGTGTTGAAGTCACGTGACGTCAATGTTCCCGCTAAATCTAGCGGAGAAACTGAAGTTGTTCACGGGTGACGTGACACGAAGTCATGTGACGTCATTTTCCCCGCTAAATTTAGCGGGGAAACTGAATTGGTGTTAAGGTCACCTGGCGTCAATCTTCCAGCTAAATTTAGTGTGGGAACTGTGGGAGGGTACAGAGGAGGAAGAGGAGGGGAGGAGGAGGAGGCGAGATAAGGAGGAGAGGAGCAGGAAATGAGAAGGAGGAGAAGAGGGGGAGGGAGGGTGCGGAGGAGAAGGGCATACCCTCCTAATCTCGCCTCCTCCTCCTCAAGAGCTGCGCTCTGATTTCGCATTACAGAGATTTGTAAACGTCTTTCATTTTTTGTTTGCTGCATAAGCACTGAGACTGCCGCTTTACGGCACTACTGACGACGAGATTTTGAATAACCAGGAGCTAAATCCTCATTCTTGACGCTAACGCAGCAAGAAGTCAGGCTGCTTGAATCCGAAAGAAACGATTCCTGGATCCCGAGAGTTCCAGAGTGGCCGTCGTCCGAAGAGGTCCCGATACCGGTGGTGATTGCCACGTCTCGTCTGGCCAGGATCAGTCCTCGCTCGTCGCTGACGGCGTTCCCGACGTTGGAGACGTTCCTCCGGCAAGACTACTACTTGACAAGACAGAATGACGTCGGCGTGCCAGGAGGGACGGGAGGTGAACGGGTTCACTCAAGACCAGCTCTCGAGACAGCTTTATAGACTGACGGCCTGTCTCCAAACGAAGTCTGCGTTTGCCCACACCAGGTGTGAGCACAGCGCATGCGCAGAAACCAGATTGACGCGAAGTAAAGCGTCTGCGCATGCGCCGGGCCCACCGCAACGGCGTGGCGTCAAAGACGCATGTTGGTTTTGAGCTAGACTGGATTTTCCGGTGTTTATTTATAAAAAAAAAGAAAAGAAAATCGGGGGATGTTTTTCGGTATTTAGTTTTTTTTTTTAAGATATCCGAGTATTCAATTATATATATAATTCGGACAGTTGCCAAAAAACGGTCATTCGTTAACTAACGCGAAACTAGGAATTTTACTATAAGAGGGGAGAGTTTGGACAAAAACAGTCCTGTCTAAAACAAAAATTTCAAAAATGTTTTTTTTTTTATTTTGTATTGACACCAACGGATGTTTTTGGTGTTCTTCGGTTAACACCGAAATGTCCACACGTTATAGCCCACCTGACAGCCATTGTATAAAATTAAGTGCTTTAGGGACCCTACACACTTCTCAAAGTGAAAGTCTCCGAAGTTTTCTAGTCTCTCCATCGAGCTATGCAGACATTGTCGGAGGCGTGTGTCTTCCTTGTACGGGAGTCCTGTCACATTAATCGTACAAAAACCTGTCCGAAGACATGTTCAAGCATATTGGAAGCATACTTCGAACATGCCTGAAACAGGTTCGCTGATAATTAAGTCACCATGTCTGCGCCGCGTCTGTTGTATGTGTGTTCATGAGTAGTATTACTAAGGGCTTGAGACACGCCAGCACACTCTGAAGCCCGGATGCGCACATACATGCGCAGACGGCCACTCTACTAACCAGAAATGTTAATCATCTATGGGCATGTGACCCGCTTGTGTCTATGGCGAAAATATTTGCCGATTTGCATTATCAGCAGCTCTTTCTTCAGACCTATGTTGTGCGCTTGTTGTCCCGTTCATCTGCTGTCTTGTCGGACGTGGGATCGGCATTAATGACGGGCCGAGTTGACTTCCATCGGCTACATGCCACAAATCACTATGTTATCATTGCCGTTCGTTTTTGTTTTCTTTCGAAGTTGCTCAATGTTTGAGACACAATAGACTGATATCAAAGAAGAGTCAAAGGGTTGATACTGTTATTGACTATAGATAGGTACACGAGGAGAGATCTCAAGGGAAAGCCAAATTTTGACACTTTTTTTAACTAGTAGGAACGCGGCTCTTATCATTCAGTGTTTAGAAGAAAATAACATCATCGTTGTCGTCATAGCTTTTGTCGTGATGTTCATCATTATCTTAATTATTATTGGTATTATAATCACCATAACCATCCACATTATGCTTTCTAATCACCATGTCTATTTTATTTCTACAATCCGAGCAGAGTAACCAACTTGGTTAATATGAACAAACGTTTAAACCCTAACCCATCAAATCAGGAATGTGCCAGCAACATACGGACTCAAAACCAGTTGTTCTAGCACTCTAGCTCTAGTGTCACATGCAACATAGACAGTATGCTTGAACAGCAACTTGAAGATGTAACCGCGGCGTAGACGCATGCCCGACATCGTGTTACAGTTCTTGTGTGCAGCAGATTTCCTGTGCCGTAATCATGATATATATGTTTCAGCGTTTCGTTTCCGTTAGCAGATGAAAAAGAAATATTAATCAATAAAAGTTTGGATAAACAGTTCTAGCAAGGAAGAATGTGTTCCGAAGTTGCTGAAGAAATATCGTACCTCGGCATTATATACTGCAATAATTGCTACGTTTCTCATCAAAATATGACACTAGCTATCGGTCTACGTGAAGGTACATAAAATATGGTTGTATTGCACATATTAAGAAATAAACGCATAAAACGTCAAGGTCATATACATCAAAACAAAGGTCATATATATCAAAATGCTTATGCAGGGTGTTGCATTTCAAGCTCAACAGATTTGTTGCGCGATTTTTCCGTCTCTTATCATAGCCCCAGCCTTGTACCTGCGCCACGAGTGGTCACTTGAGCGTACAACTGCGCTTCTCACGCGATCAAAACAGTTGTAAGCATGATTTGTTTAATGGTTTTTGATGAAGCTCAGCACGCTTCTAATTGGAACCAGATGACTATTTTCAGCAATTAAAAACCTAATTCAAAGAATTCACTTAACGAGATGACTGATCCTTACGATCAGGCCGCTATGCTATATTCTCCTGTCCGTATAACTCACCTGCACAAACCGCATAAGTGCAGCTTTCACGGTCGTTTTTCTAAACAAATCTGATAAGCTTTAAAAAAAACTGTAATTTACTGTTTCATCTTGTGCATCAGTAACTAGGGAAAAAATCAAACCACCAATTTTAAAAAACGAAACGAAAACTTAAACTATGTTCTCGTCAATATTGTGAAGGATCAACACACCGAAATAAATATATATGAAATTTATATGACGCTAGCTTCCTCTGTATGCAGGTAAGAAAAAGCCACAGCGTGACAGTAAAAAACCACCCTGCAAGCCCCAACGTTTCTTCCGTATTATACAAATACAAAGAAAAAAAGCCGCATCTCCACGTGGTGAATGATGTTGATTGGGGCGAAGCTCTGGTGGTGCTTGTCTGCGTAGACGCTGAACCGCAGCATGCCGAGCCTTTCGTTCATTTTCATCCATGTCACGCTTCGGTCAAATTCTCAAATGCGTATATAACCACGTTCCATACCACACATTCTCTTTCTGACATGGATGAAAACGAACGAAAGGCTCGGCTAGGGTGCCTTCATGTGCGCTTTGCTTAGGGTGGAGACATCTGGCCATTTTGTTCCCACTTTTACATTTATTTTTTGTTCAGAAGCGCGTGAAAGAGCGTGTCCCTTCACGCGTCTGTGGCGCTGACTGTGCTATGGCGACATTTTGTTCTCGTCGATTTCTTTGTATTTTCCCCGTGAGCGCGTGCTGTCGGCAACGGGTACTACAAAGGGTGGCATCACTCTAAATAGGGTGCCTCAATGTCCTTCTGTTAAGGGTGATACCACCCTTTGTAGTACCCGATGCCGACAGCACGCGCTCGCGGGTAAAATACAAAGAAATCGACGAAAACAAAATGTCGCCATAGACGCTTTGCAGTAGCTGTCCATGGGCGCCGCCATAACTGACCTTCAGTTTTTGTTCCCCCTTATTACGTTTACTTCACTTCATTATTACCATAGCAGGCCAGGTTATTGCCATCTTAGATTTTATTCTGTCTTTCTCCCCAGCATTGGCCTTTGTGGAGGCTCGTCCACACCAATTCCAGTGGCTCGGTATCTCAGTAAAACAAGAGAAGGTCAGTAATGGCGGCTGTATTCTGGCGCGTGTGTAAAGCGTCTATAGCACAGTCAGCGCCACAAACGCGTGCAGGGACACGCTCTTTCACGCGCTCCTAAACAAAAAAGAAAAATAAATGTGTGGGACAAAATGGCGAGATGTCTCCACCCTAAGCAAAGCGCACATGAAGGCACCCTAACTCTAAACAGAAGGTCATTGAGGCACCCTAGGCTCGGCATGCTGCGGCTCACCGTCTACGCAGACAAGCACCACCAGAGCTTCGCCCCAATCAACATCATTCACCACGTGGAGATGCGGTTGTTGTTTGTTTTCGCTACACGAGCACGGGAGCACGTGCACACGTGCTCGTGAGCACGTGAGCTCACGAGCAGGAGGACGAGCCCCTGACGCCGGACATCGGACGGACATACGGACATGGCTAGCCCCTAAGGAGCTTCGCCCCTCAAAGCGATGCCTTCCCATGTCTTGGTTCCTGTTCACGAAATCTCCGCATGTAAACGTACCTAAAAGTACTTTCCTAATTATATCAGGTTTCAGTCGACCCCAAACCAAATAGTCACGTGAAGGAAGTATAAGCCCAAAACACGACCAATATAATGCTCTTCAAGTTACTGGTTGCAAATATAGACGCTTTACACACGCGCCAGAATACAGCCGCCATTGCTGACCTTCTCTTGTTTTACCGAGATACCGAGGCACTGAAATTGATGTGGACAAGCCTCCACAAAAGCCAATGCTGGGGAGAAAGACAGAATAAAATCTAATGGTATATTCGGCTGGTCACTTTCGAGCACTCCAATCATCCGAGTCGTAGCTACCAGATCCCGGAGCGCCTCCGCATCGGAGCGAGAGAATCGGCGCGCCCAGCCGAACGCTCTTCAACATTTGAGAGCGGCAAGCCGAGCGGATAGAGGGTGGCGTGCGCCACTAGAGGACGGCACGAGCCGCCCTCTAGCGGAACTTTTGCTCTTTGGATTCAAAGGGTTGAGCAGTATTCAGTGATCCATCCATCCGTAAATCCTTGAAAAATGGCAACCGTCAACGCGGACGCCGATAAGGTCATCGCAAGCCAGCCGTGCCAAGCGGAAGTTCCTGCGTAACTATCAAAAAAAGACGACATTACAGCTTGAAAACTCTCGTACTTTTGTACTTACCGCTTTTTCCGAGTAGGTTCGCACTATAAAAACATTGGCCTTGACCTTGGGCACCGTACAAGACAACGTTGGTGCAAGGCAACGTCGGTACAAGGCAACGTTAGGTACAAGGTCCGTCAAACAACTCGGCAAACTTCGCTTCGCAAACACGGTCCTCGTCGTCGTAGTCCGAGCTGCTGGTGTTGTCGCTGTCTGCTAGCTTCGCCAGCAGCACTGGCGGTGCCACCACTAACATTAAACGTCTTCGTTTCAACGACATTTCACCTCAATTCGGGGAGCACAACACAACGGTGACGGCGTCGAGACTGACGGCTGTTTTTCGCAGCCCTCTTTTTGCGGAGTAGCCGTTCTCGCCGTCCGCTTCCTTCACAAAAGCAAAATGGCGGAATGGCTGGAGTCACGTGACCGGTCGGCAGCCAGATCTCTCGCGAGCTCCCACTTCCAAGTCAGAGCGCCTCAAACCGCTCCGATTCGGAGGCCGGCGAGAGTCGGAGCTTCGAGAGCGCTCCGAAAGAACCAGTCGAATATACTTGGAGCGCCTGGCATCGACCAGTCGAATGCACACCGGCTTTTCAGAGCGCTCCAAGAGGCCGAAATGGAATTAATTATAATTAATTGCATTTGTTGATCCAAAGTCATTTTAGGTGTTTGCATTAGAGAGAGGGTTTGCGATGGTCGTCGCCTGATTCATTTTTGCAATCGGTCGTGATCGTCTGCTATTCTAACTAAAATTCAACAAGTAGTATGTTGATATTACAAAACGATTGCCACAACAAAATGTAAAGAGTATAAATATACTTTTTATCTCATTCCATGCAAGTAAAAGTATGATCTCTTTTATTTCAGTTTTACTACTTTCTCAGACGTTTGACTTGCTGCCTTCCCTGTAGGATTTCGCTCAATCAATGTATCCACAGCTGCTAGTCTTTTTTTTTTTTCTTTTTGCTTGTTTTTGGAGTTTCTTTTTTTTTTTTTTTTTTTGTCACAACTGCAGTTTTTACTAGTCCTAAAAAGGCGTCTCTTGTTATTGAAAGGAATCGTAGCAAGAGCGTTATTTAAAAATAGATAAAATTGTAAATGCTGGGGGAAGGATACTTGTTTCGGCTCCGTTTGTGTGAAAGCCATACCGATGCTGTTACCTTGGTTTCCTTTTAATGAACATAATGAAATCATTGTATTAGCGCGTTAACTTGCGTTGACCTTTTTTTTCTTCTTCCCGGTGTTTCGATTGAACAGGTGGGTAAAAGCGTGTAAGGCGCAGTAGTGCAAGTGGATGATTTCCAAAAAAAGGATCACAGTTAAAAAGTAAGACACGCGCAAAATACAAAAAAAAAATAAAAGTCCCTAGCGCGACTTGAACCCTGAAGTTTCACGCCGCGACGACAAGTACTGGCGCTTTAACCTCTCGACCACAACAGAAAGCTTTTTTTTTTTTTTTCTTTATAACAGTTTTATTTACCAACGGCATGTTCAGGCTACATATACATTTGCTTAGCACACATCATTAAGAACGTTTGGAGTTTTCACATAGTTTTTCACATTTCTTTACCCACGAAGGCAGGTCATCTTGATCCGTGTAGATACAACGTATTTGTGTTACAAATTCCACGAAGTAAGCTTCAACTGGCCGTGGGTTAAGATCTGCGTTTCTAACTGCCATTCTGGAGCACCAGATACTGTATAGACAAACGAGCATTACGAGGTCGTACGGCACAAGTTCGTGAGAAGTAATTGGAAGAAAACGAATCGATTGTGACGTTATTTCTAAGTCCTTTTTCAATGTCCTCTGTAACACGTCCCAAAACAAAAGGGCGTCCCAACAAAAAATAAATACGTGCTCTATAGTCACAGGCGTTTTACACAGTAGGCAGTTGGTGGTCCAAGGAACAAAAATTCCTTTCTCGTGGAGCCATGCTTTCACTGGGAGGGTCGAGGTGTGAAGTTTAAAGAAGAAACTTTTTGCACGCGGCGGGATCGCCATTTTCTTAACACGACAAAGAACATCCTGGCCAGGGCTTTGTCTGTGCACTGCGCGATACAAGGGCTCTGGAAAAAGACTGTCATACAGAGCATTAGACAGGCCCTTCCTATTTACAGATGACAAAAAGTCCCTGGAAAAGCGAACTGACAAAAAATTGTACGTATCGACAACCTCTTTGAGAAAACCTCCTATTTTGGATGGTTGCTCCCCGCAGCTTGAGACCAAAAATGTAGGCAAGTGCCACGCCAATTTTGTTTGAAT